GCCCAGGGTCTAAACAGAAAGGCCAGCCCCCTGAATTACTGTCTCTAAAGGCCCTAATTAAATGCCAAGTCATGTGACTTCTCTGTAAGAGAAAGGCACACAAATTCCACCATTCAAATCATTTATCTCTGGGACTTTGGGTCTTTGAAGCTAAATAAGAGGTAACAACATCAGCCTTGTTAATAGAAATCTTCAGTCTGTCTTAGAGCATGTGACTGGGCAGGTATACTAGGCAGGGCTCTACTCTCAAATTGGGAATGCTGGGATCTTTGGAAGAATCTCTGCCTCTACTCATGTAAGCAGGCATAAGGCCAAGATGGCTAACCTGTCTCAGTCCAATGGAGCAAGAAAACCACTGAGCTAGCATACAGACAGCTCTAACTTCTAACCTGTGCCATGATTGCACTCTGGGAAAGTCAGCTGTGGTCAGTAGTCCCCTTTACCCTGTGGGGAGAAACCAGTACTAGGGTAAGTAGAGGGAGTAGAAGGTTCCTTCGGTTACTCTCCTTTTAGGGTGAGTTACTGACACTCAGGTGTGGCACTGTAGGCTATTGTGCAGAACTGTAAAGTCGGTTTGAACCACAAGATCGGTGGTTCAAGCTCACCAGCCACACCTTGGAAACCTTATACAGGGTTGCTATGTGTCAGAATTGACTCAACAGCACTAAACAACAACTAACACTCTACCAAGCAAGGTCTGGTATGGCACTGTAGATTTAATACTAAACTACCAACCACAAGGCTGGTGGTTCAAACTCACCAGTCACTCACTCCTCAGAAACCCTATACAGGGCCACTATGAGTTGGAACCGACTCAACGGCACTCAGCAACACAACATCCACCAAGCTAGGACACTGTGTAGATGATCCACACTCACCTGGGCTGGCTTGATCACCACGGTGTTCCCGGCAGCCAGGCAGGCAGCAGTCTTCCAGGAAAGCATCATTAGGGGATAGTTCCAGGGGATGACAATACCACAGACCCTGTCACACAACAAAATAGGCCTCTGTCTCTCCGCATAGCCCATTCCTTTCTCCTCTCCCAGGGCAGACCCCACCCTCAGAGTCAAAGTGTCCCGAGAGGCTGCCCGTTCCTTTTTAGACTCTGACATTGTTGTATGAATGAATTGGCAGGATCTCCTGTCCCTAGTCAGACATGATGGCATGGGACAGGTCATTTCTCATAGAGTTGGTAGAACCTGTCTAGGGGCACAGTTTTGTAGATGGGCAAGATAGGGGAGGATGAGCAGTAGACTGGCATGGATAAGGATCCAGAAGACGGTGTTACACAGACTGACCAGGTGGGCTAAGCAGGGGTCTTCCTGGGAATGAGGCCAGTGGTCACTCATATGGAGTCAGCTCAGAAAGTGGATCCAACTAGCTTTGTTTTGCAATGAGAGATGCATCCAATTTGCCAGAATTATCTTTTGATTACAGAGGCAGTGCCTGGCGGGGTCACGTGGGCTTCCTACTCCCAGCACTGTAGAGGAGAGGGGAGGCCCTGTTGTGGTCCCTGGGGGCTAGAGAGATCTAATGATTAAGTCTGTGCGATTTGGATCCAGTGTGATCCTGCATTTCCCGAGCTCTTATAGAATATGAATAGCTGTCTATAAGATGACTTATATAGTTAAATGAGACAATTCACATGAGATCTCATCACAAACTATATTGTTGCTTTCATCATTATCATCAGAGGACATTGCCCCTAAAGGTGACTTCTTAGCTGAGTCCAGACAGTGGGAAGAGCATGTGCAAAGGCCCAAGGGCAAGGAGGAACACTGTGAGGCTTCACAGCCAGGTGGGATTGATGAGGCTGACAGGGGAAGTCAGTCTAATCTTGTAGGCAGGAAGGATAACGTCCGCATTTGCATGTTACCCTAGGAGACGGAAGAGTCACCAAGAGGTCTGAAGAAGGGCCCCCTCCTGTGCTCCCCATGACCACCCACCAGACCCATAAGAGACAGGACTGGTATCCAGAAACAAGAGCACTTACTGCCAAAAATGAAGGCCTTGATGTTCCTAGGGCAGAAGGGTTGAGAGAGATAGGCTTGCGGGGCTCCAGAGAGAAAACGTTTTTCAGAGGCGTCCCACCACTGTGGGGCAGAGACTGAGCCCCCTGGAGCTGTAGAGTATGCCCTGGCACAGGGTCCAGACCAAGTAGGGTGTGAGATACAGGGGCTGGGGGACTAATCCCTGGCCAGGCTGCCATGGGAGTCTCTGAAGGGTGTAAACAATAGGCTGTACATCTTTACGGGAGCAGAAAGCCTCATTTTTCTCCCACGGAACAGCTGGTAGTTTCGAACTGCTGACCTTAAGGTTTGCAGCCCGATTCGTAACTACTACGCTACCAGAGTTCCTTACTCATGGAAGCAGCAGTCAAGAAATCAAACAATGTATTGCATTAAGCAAATCTGCAGCATAAATCATTTTTAAATTATTGTTGTTGTTAAGTGCTGTCGAGTCTGTTCTGACTAATAGCGACCCTCATAGGGTTTCTGAGGAACAGCTAGTGAGTTTGAACTACCAACTTTGTAGTTCAAACCAATTTTGCAGTCCAGTGCTTATCGTACAGCAATAGACTAGGATTCTTTTTAAAGTATTAAAGAACAAAGATTATCAGTTTGAAGACTACGGTATGCTTGACCCAAACCTTAGTGTTTTCAATCACCTCATATGCATGTGAAAGTTGGACAATGAATAAGGAAGAACGTAGAAGAATTGATGTATTTGAATTATGTTGGCAAAGACTATTAAAAGTACCATGGACTGCCAGAAGAACAAACAAATTTGTTTATCCCAGGATGGCAGGCCTTTGGACATGTTATCAGGAGGGACCAGTCCCCGGAGAAGGACATCCATGCTTGATAAAGTAGTGAGTTAGCAAAAAGAGGAAGACTCCCGATGAGATGGATCTCCACAGTGTAACAATGGGCTCAGACATACAATTGTGAGGATGGTGTAGGACCGGGCAGTGTTTCGTTCTGTTGTACATAGGGTCACTAGGACTCAGAACTGTCTTGATGGCATCTAACCACCACCACAACAACATACCTCTGAAGGTCCTATAGGATAAGCACCAGACTGCTAACTGCAAGGTCAGTGGTTCAAACCCACCTCCATGGAAACCCTGTACTGGGTCGCTGTGAGTCAGAACCGATTCAATGGCATTAACAACGACAGCAACAACATACTTCTGAAATGTCGGTCACTCCATAGCCGACAAATAAACAGCTATTGGATAAAAATGTAGGCAGGAGGCATTAGGACATACGCGGACTCCATGTGTGATGTGGGACGAGCTCAGTGAGCAGTTGCTGCTGCCCGCGGCAGTGACTCACCCAATCGGCTCCTTTCTAGTGAAAGTCAGGTTGCGGTTGGGTCTGGCCTGGTTGATGGGGATAGTGGAACCCTGGAAAAACCACAGAAGCCACAGAAGCATTACTGAGGAGGGTCTGCAGATGCCTACCTTTTCCTACTGGACACCCAGGCCCTCTGCTTGGGGCCCAGAGATGAGAATATTGTATCCTGATTCTCATTACCCAAGTGGAAGGAGACTGACTAAAAGACCCAGGTTATGTATAGCAGCAGGAATCTGAGGAGTTTGGAGATGACAGAGTGCAGCCAGGAGCTTCCCTGTAAGCCTGGCAGATGGACCCCTTAGACAGGAAGCAGATCTGGTACTGAAAAAGTCTCCAACTTTGGGATTTGGGCAAAGGGGTGGTGTGGAGGCTGGGCGGGGTAGGAACACAGGAAGGTGAAGCTGCCACTGAAGAATGAAACATTCTTCCCCAGTCTCTCTATATAAGAACCCAGCGGTTGGCATCTTGATTCTGTGCTTGTGATATCTTAGCATCGAGCCTGCCAACCTGCAGAACATGGGTGTTGTATTAAAGCCCTTTAACACTTTGCCATCAAGTTATGGCACATCAAAAACAAAAACAGAAACTCAACATCATCATTATGACCCTATAGGACAGAGAATAGCTACCCCCATAGGATTTCCAAAGAATAACCTCAGATGCATGCGAAAGCTGGGCAGTGAATAAGGAAGACTGTAGAAGAATTGCTACTTTTGAGTTGTGGTGTTGAAGGAGAATATTAAAAGTGCCGTGGGCTGCCAAAAGAACAAACAGATCTGTGTTGGAAGAAGTGCAGCCAGAGTGCTCCTTAGAGGCCATACTTTGGACATATTGTCAGGAGAGACCAGTTGTTGGAGAGGGGTATCATGTTTGGTAAGGTGGAGGGTCAGAGAAAAAGAGGAAGACCCCAAGCCAGATGGATTGGCAACGTGGCAGCATCAATGGGCTCAAGTGTGGCAACAATTGTGAGGCTGGCCCAGGTCTGGGCAGTGTTTCGTTCTGTTGTGCATAGGGTTGCTATGAATCAGCACCAACTCGATGGCACCTAACAACAACAACAACAACAATTTTTACAGGTGCAGACTGCCATATCTTTCTCCTGTGGAGCAGTTGGTGGGTTCAAACCGATGCTCTTTAGGTTAGCAGCTGAGCAACCACTGCTCCACCCGAGCCCCTTGTGTTAAGACTCAATTAGTACCAAAGCAGTAGGAAGCTCATTCACTGTGGAGTCTCCCCTCCCAAGAGCCTGACCCTGTTGCATGGCTCCCCCAGAAGGGGAAGAAGCTGGGCTCTACCTGGATCTTGTCACACCAGCCAGCAAAGTATTGGAAGGTCTGGATGGACATGCCCACATGAGTCTTCAGAGCCAGCGTGTAGACAGCACCTGCGTCCAGAGCCTCGATGGTGGCCAGCTCCTCCTGGTGCTGCTCCATTAGATCTGCCAACCTGGCCAAGGGTGAAGGGGCAGGAGATGGAGTCACCCTTGGCTTTTCTCAAGGTCCATTCTTCTTTCTCTCTGTCCCAACTCTGCCATACTCCAATGGATGAGACTAATCACATTCACTGCCCTCCTTTCTTCTCTCTCTCCCTTCTCCCTTCCCTGAATATTTGTGGATGGACTACTTTATGCTGCCCTTTTTACAAATGATCTTGCTGAGATGTCACTTACCTCGACAACAAAGAACTCACCCCCAGAGCCTTTCCATCTTTGGACAACTTTAACTGGGACTAAACATCTCCCTTCCAAACACCAACCAAACCCAGGGCTTATGCTAAAGGAGCATTTGAAGAAGGGTCTATTTATAATCTAGGAGCTCTGGTGGTGTAGTGATTATGAGTCAGGCTGTTAACCTCAAGGTCAGCAGTTCAAAACTACCAGCCATTCCATGGAAAAAAGATGAGGCTTTCTGTTTCCGTAAAGATTTACAGCCTTGGAAACCCTACAAAGGGTTCACTGTGAATTGGAACCAATTCCATGGCACACAACCACCACCACCACCACCAGTCTTAGGGGACAGATGTTGGAAAATGTGGTGGCATCTGTCCAGTCAGTATCCTCATCCTATGTCTATCCATGCCTAATTCTTCTTCCTGACTCCCTCCCTGCTGATCAACAGCATACCCCAGGCCTGCCCCTTGAGCCTTGGCTATGACCCACAAAAGTGTTCTGAACAGTCTTTCCACAGACTGTCCTACTAGCTCCTCTTTGTGTTCTCACCTGGCTGCTGGATATAGCTGGCTTACTGGATTCCCCTACAAGCTCTATCTCACCCACTAAGGCTGCAGGAAGTCAGTGCTTTCTCTAATTCTTCCATCTGGCTCTTTCCTTCCCGCTTTAATGACAATTGTATGCCGTCTTATTCCTGCAACATATTCCTTATTGCATAACACCTACAGCACTCTCCCTTCTTCTGGAAACATCGCTCCATCTCTTTGGACCTAGAAGAACAACACCTCTTTTCTGAGCCCAGGTCCTACTATGTGGGCCAAAGCTAGGACAATCACAAATCCTTGCCTAATTTTGTCAAATGGAAGCTAAAGAATGAAGGCCTTCTCTCCCTGGGTATAAAAAAGAAAACAGGGCAAATGTGAAACCACGAACTTCAGGCACCCTCATTTCTACCTGCATGAAAAGAACACATTTGCTCAATGACAAACAGAGAAATAGGAGACAGAGTACTTCCTGAGGAATTTGGCAATTCTGGGACCAACTCCATTTCTGACTTCCCTGCCTTTTTCTTACAGTAGACTCTAAGACGCTTTGTCCAAGGTTAAGCGCCTCTGCCTGACGGGGTGTACATATAGGAGCTGTAACCACACACCCTCATTTTTGTACTTCCTGCTTTCTTCATTCAAACCCTAGACTGGAGCACCTCCCAATACCACTACTTGGTGAAATCCCTCCTGTGTTTCTGACCTCCCAGCCAGAGTCAGTTCCCTTATCGAGAGTTCCCTGGCTGGTCTGTTGGGACCTTTTGCCCCTCTCCAGGTTCACATCATGCTGAAGGTAGAGACAGCTGACAGACGGGTGTTGGAATCTTACCTGTACAGAAGCCGTCCCCGATCTCGTGCATTGATCTTTCCCCACAAGCCATTCTCAAAGGCGTCCTTTGCAGCAGCCACTGCTTTGTCAACATCAGTGAGCTGGGCCAAGGATACCTGGCAGATGACCTGCAAAGGAGCAAACAAAGTGATACCTACCCCAACACTGTGCAAGGCCTTGAGCAGGCCAGTGAGAGGGAGCAAGGATGGCTTCCTCAACCAAGGGAGTTTAGAAAAGTCAGTTTGACTTTCTACTGAACAGTGACCATCTCCTCACATTTCCACCGAGGCCTGAACAGACTACAGAGAGGAGGCTGAGGAGCATTTTAGTGTTATTCAAACTGACAGTGGAATGCATTAATTTAGTGAATAACACTCGACATTTTTCCTTAAAGTTAGCTAGAGATTCAATGCCATCTAGACCATTGTATAGGGCCCATGAATCTACTCTCTCCCCTTTCCCCATATACATAGAACCCACAGGCTTTGGTCAGACTGAGCCAGAGGGAGGTTAAGACACTGATTCTGCAGAACCTTAATGCTGGGAGAGGCTGTGATTCTCCACCAGCGATCTGGCCTGCATCTGTGGGCAGTCTGCCCCACACGGCTACTAGATTCCAATGGTTGCTTCTTCCAGGTGCCACTGTGGGCCTACAGCTGGTAATAGCTCCCTGTTATCACAGGGAGGATAATGCACCTGTCTCTGAGAATAGTGCACCATCTTGCTTTGTTCCTCTAAACCAGGGGTGGAGAATTTTGCTTCTGGCAAAATGTATAACATAATTTGCAGGCCATACAAATTTATCAACTTAAAAATTAGCCTGCTAGGCCTGCAGAATGTACTCTTTGGCTGTTTAACTGATTATATATTCCTGAGTGTTTTTGTGTGCAACCCCCCCTCCCCTCCAAAAAATAAACAAACCAAAAAAACCCAACAACATAAACCCCCCCCCCCCCGAGGGAATAGAACCAAATACTGTTGAATGATGATTCACAGAGGAGATTGTAATCATTGCAATGATGAAATCATGAGTATAAAACTGATGCTCTCCCATGTAAACTATCACTCAATTCACAATAAAAACTTAAAAAATTAGCCTGCTCTATTTGGTCAAGCATTTAATTAACTTATCCCTAACGTGATGGCTGGAACTGCGATTGCCTTGGTAAGGCCAGACCAAATGGTTCTGTGGGCCTTATACGGTCCATCGGCTGGACGTTCCCTGTCCCTGCTCTAAGCTCTCTTTATAACTTTATAAGCAGTTCTTTCTTTACACTCCCCTCAAATTACCTATTTTGAGTGTGCAATGTGTTCTCTGAAGGGTCCCTGGATGACATGATAGGCTATGATATAGAAATATCAGTGTGCATGTGTAAGAACATGGTTTATTTCCTGAAACTTTTGTGTGTGAACATGAATGGATATGTACTGGGTCATGAGGCAAAATACTTAGAGCCATAGTCAAGAAAGTTTAAAAGATGCTGGAGTCAATTCGAGGAAGGATACCCAGACAGTAGAGGGGGTCCTCCTGGGTTATTGTGAAATGTGTGTGTATGGTGGCTTTTATTTCTTCCTTTGGGAGTTTTAATTCTGCCCCTAGTCTTGGAAGCAGGCTCAAGATCCCTTAAAATCCCTCCTGCTCTTCGCTTCTCTCTCCATCTTTTCTGTACTGGTGGTAGGAGTGAACAGCAGTACATCAAGATCCAGGGAGGCTGGGAGATGTATAGAAATCTCTTTGTGTCCATGTCAAAGGCTTAAGTCAAAGCAGAGGTATCCTTGGTCCAGGACCCACTGGTGTCAGAAAGGAGGGGAGGCCCAGGATCTGCACTTACACTTCCATCGGCAGGATTGATAGTGTCATAGGTCTTAGCACCCTCGGCATCCACAAACTTCCCCCCAATGAAGAGCTGGTGGGGCATTCGGAGGGTCAGCTTATTTACTGACTTTTCCACCTGGAAGAAACACTCTTTATATACAGGCCCAGGTGATGAACACAGAGAAAACAGGGAAGCAAGAAGCACACATAGATGGATGCACTCCCATGCATACACAGACATACATGTAAAGACATAACAGGAACACTCTAGGTGCAAACACACAGATTTGCACATGGGCACAGATAAACACAAATACACAGCCAACCAGAGTGGCCAGGGCACAACCATGCCTCCTCGGGGGCTCTTACTGAATCCAGTCTGGGAAGCTGCTAAAGGGTAATGAATTAGATGGTGACAAGCAGTGTTGGAGAGCAAAAGCTGCCTGAACAGAAACTCAGCTGTAGGACTTACTTACTCAGGCTGGTTATTCAGTCCCAACACAGGGGTATATTGAGGATCAACGTGTTAATTCTTGCAAGGCAGCAGTGTTAGGCATACAGGGAATGGTCAGGTAAGTCTCATTTACATGGAGAGGTCCCAGTAGTCCCCTCAGACATGGTGAGGCCCCACACAACTCATTTTGCTACTGATTTGTATGTTAGGAACAAGAAGTACAGTTAGTTCCATCACAATTCCATGATGAGTGCAGGAACCTCTGGGAACGATGTTCCCTAATGAAATCTGTTCATTGATCATTTGCCCATGTACTAAGGTCAACCTTAATGAGCTCTGGTAGCGTAGTGGTTACGAAGTGGGCTGCTAACATCAAGGTTGACAGTTTGAAACTACTAGCTATTCAGAGGGAGAAAGATGAGGCTTTCTGCTCCTGTAAAGATTTGCAGTCTTAGAAACGCTGTGCAGGGTCACTATCAGTTGGAATCGACTCCATGGTACTTACCAACAACAACAAGGTCAACCTTACGTCCACCTTGACCACCTGTACTATTCACACTAAAAAGTCCCAAAGCTAAGTTCTAGTTACCCCAGGAAGATTTTTCAAGAGTTTTCTTTTTTAAAAAACAAACAAACAGATTTGCAATGACTTTGTTATGCTTTTTTTTTTTTTTTAAATAAGGGTTTAATGTATAGAATCATTTATTTTCTTTTGAGGGCATTTAAAGCCTCTTTTAACACCCTAGCTCCATGTCTTGTTGTTGTTAAGTACCGTGGAGATGGTTCTGATTCATAGTGACCCTGCACAGAGTTCCTGAGTCTGTAAATCTTTATGGGAGCAGAAAGCCTCATCCTTCTCCCGTGTAACAGCTGGTAGTTTTGAACTGCTGACCTTGAGGTTAGCAGCCCAATTCATAACCACTACGCTACCAGAGCTCCTTGTTAAGTGCTGTTGAGTCGATTCCAACCCATAGCAACCCTGTACAGTGTTTCAGAGGCTATAAATCTTTATGGGAGCAGAAAGCCTCATCTTTCTCCCATGGAACAGCTGGTAGCTTTGAACTGCTGACCTTAAGGTTTGCAGCCCTATTCGTAACCACTACGCTACCAGAGCTCCTTAGTCCCATGTCTTAGGTCTCAGAATTTGAGCTGTATACTGAGCGTGAGACAGCAGTTTCCTCCATGGAGATTGTCTGACTCTCCTGGCTTCCCCAGGCTACCTTGTGTTGCCAGGGAGAGCTGGGGATTCTAGGGGTTGGTTCATGGGATCTTAGCTTCCAGGATACCCAGTCCCCCTCATTTGTCATTGTGGATCCACAGATGGGGATGTCTGTGGGGTCCACAGGGTCACATCCCACATGGAAGGAACCAGGACTCACATAGTCAATAACTTGATCACTGTGTTCATCTTCCCCTCGCAACTTTCTCACTAACAACTGAACGAAGTCCCCAAAGGTGGTTGCCATGTAAACATCTTCATTTTCTAACTCCAGGCCATCACACAGTTCCTTAACTTCCTCCACCAGTCTGGAGAAGAGAAGAAGAAAAGAGAGGTGCATAGTGAAAAGCCTAGTAAAAGCCTCAGTTGAACGGTCTCATTTTTGTGGCAGAGGAGTAGTGCCAAACACATTTGCCTAAAGGGATTTGCATCCCAGCATCCAAAGCTTTGAGGTTAGCCTAGAACTAGGGTGAAGGCCCAGGCCATGGACTCTGAGGTCTCAATTTCAAGTCCTGTCTCCATCACTTACTAATTTGTGATCTTGGGCAAGTGGCTAACTCCTCTGAGCCTTAAATTTCTTCATCTGTTAGATGTGAAAAGTCAGTCTTATACTATTTTGCTATAAGTAGATGAGACACTCTACCTAATAACTAGAATAATTAGAATAATATTCAAAAGACACTAAAAAATGAAATGACTGGAAGTAAATATTTGGTATTTGCAAATCACATATTCATAATACATAAAGAATTCTCAAAATTCAACACAAGGAAAACCAACAATCCAGTTAAAAACATAAGGTAACACAGACTACCAAACATTTTGAAAATTACACAAACAAAACTAGACAAAATAGATGAATGGGACATACTAAAAATTAAAAACTTATGTGCATCAAAAGACTTCATCAAAAGAGTAAAAAGGGAGCCCACAGACTGGGAAAAAATTTTTTTTCAATGACACATCAGACAA